CAAAAATCAAGGACTCACAAATTCCATTGAATTGAAATTTGGCAAATGCTATGAAATAATTTAAAATGACCATAAAACATATTATTACATAATACAAAATACAACAATTTCCTGAAATCAACTGCTGATCTTTGACTATGCTATATAGTTCAACATAGACTACTTTCAAGGCTGATACATTTCTGAATATCTCCCTGAATTTTTAAAACTGTTCACGTACATTAGATGCTCTGCCACTGTTGAAGGCTTTGAGGAATCTGGTAAGGAAATATCTTTGAAATGATGATCCAAGAGGTTATGGATTGTCTAGTTTACCCTAAAGATGGATTCAGATTCCACATATCAATAAACATTTAGATCATCTTGCCTCATTAGGTGCCAAGTTTGTCAAAGCTATGCAAATCTTCAGATCTGGTGACCAAAATGATATCTTTGACTCACTCTGAGCCACCTGCTAAGGATCAATGATTGAATACAGATTTACTCAGAATCTATTTACACGGAAGGCCATTATCATAAACGTCCAAGTCACCTGTAGGTATTTATTGACAAGCCTGACAAGAGGCTTCCTTCAGTTAAAAGAAATGATAGAATTGGTATATATCTCTAGTCTAACCAATGCTTTCTCTCCAGAATGTTTTGCCCTTGCAAGAGTTGCTTCCTCATTTCTGAAGAATGTATATAGGTGATCCTTGACTTATGACCACAATTGAGCTGAAAATTTCTATTGCTAAGTGAGCTAGTAGTTAAGTGAGTTTTGCCCATTTTTGACTTTTCTTGCCATAGTTGTTAAATGATTCACTGCAGCTGTTAATTTAGTAACACGTTAAGTGTTTGAAAAACAATCATAAGTTACACAGTTATGTTATAACTTTGAGTGATAAAAAAATGAATTGTTTGTAAGTTGAGGACTACCTGTACTTCCAAATCACAAGGAGAAAACCACTATTCAATAAGGAAAACACTGTTGCTCATCTGAACATTGACTGAAGGACTTGGATTGACTCTTCACATTTTGACTCATTAGTTCAATTCTGTCAGATATGTATTTCTGACTGAAATAAAACTAAAGTGGCTTAAATAGCAACAACAATAGACATATATACCGCTTCCTAGTGCTTTACAGCACTCTAAATGGTTTACAGAGTCAGTATATTGCCCCCAACACCTCATTTTACTGACCTCAGAAGGATGGAAGGCTAAGTCAACCTTGATTTGATTAGGATCGAACTCCTGACAGTGGGCAGAGTTAGCCTGCAATATAGCATTCTAACCATTGTGCTACCATGGCTCCTTAAATCAACACTGAATTCCATAAGAACTTCATAGTGACTATAAAGCATGAAGGTGGCAATGTCATGATACGGGAATACTTTCCTGCCTCAGGACCTAGATGACTTGTTATCACTGAAAAAAGAATGCTCTGCTTTTTATCAGAGAATTCTATGGGAGAATCTCGGGCCATTTATTTATTAAGTGAAGCTGAAGTGCAAGTGGATGATGTAGCAAAAGAATGATTCCAAACATACAACCAAGCCTACATGATGAAGAACAACAAATCCAGTGTTTCTATGTCCAAGATCATAGAAATATTCTCTCATGACCTGAAAGAGTTTGTGCTAAAAGACCTTTGAATGTTATTGAGGAGCAGCAGCTCTGAATTCCTGTATGGCAATATAAGAGACTGATCACCATTTATAGGAAATGTATGATTTCGGTTATTGCAGATAAATTTACTGAATCTAAGAGGATGATTCCTCTTTCATGCTGTAATCATGTGTTGGATGATTTTGTTTAAAAAATAAATTAAGTAAGCACCAATGTTTGATGGTTTGATGCTATTTTTTATTTATATTCCTTTTCTATCCTAGCGAGACCTGCTTTGCTAATATTCACAGCAAAAATAGGCCAAAAAATTCTGTAACTCAAAAAAAGGCTAAATGCTTTTTTAAGAGAACTATAAATTAACATTTCACATAAGTCATGCCTTTGTAGAACTTTCAACAAATTTGTAACCTGTCCCTTAGGAAGAAAAGAACCTTTTCAATAGTTAAGCAGCTTTTTCACACAAACAGCACTTTAACAGGCCAGGGCAAGACATGAAGAAAAAATATTGTAACTCCACCTTGCTTCTGTTTGGTATAAGAGGGGTCAAAATGAAAGTAGTAGGCTTTTAAGATTCTTTTATTATAACCCAGTGCCACAAAGAAGCATTCCTGTAATCTTTGCAACCTCAGTTTTCTGACCTGGCCTATCTCAAAAAGCTGAATAGTGTAAAATTAATCTACTGAAGATGAATTGAACTCCATTTTCTCCCAGATACTTTGATTCAGCAATGCAACCATGAGCAGAAATTCTTGAAATTGAGCTGAAGTAACTGTTAAACACAATTTTTAACAAATTTACTAAATTAAATAGTAATTATTTCAGGATTACTTTTTATTTTAGTTATACCTTTTTAAAAACCTGATGGAAATAGTTATATGTTTTAATTATTTTTATATTTAATTATTATTTTTTAGATTATTTCACTTGAAAATGACATAACAAATGTTTGTTGACAGTGGTGGGAACACTAGCTGTTTCAAAGACAGTTGTCTTACTTCCTTGTTAACTGTTATATCTTTAATCATGGAGTGGAGGGCAACAGGCAGTGAGCAATCACTCGGACATATTTTCTGGATCTAGCTCCATCTTTTGCCTACCTTTGGATTAGAGCAGGGATGCTTTCCCCCACTCCACCCAAACACAGGAACTCATCAAACCAGATCCTTAATGCTGCCAAGGTTACCACATTAATACAGGCCATTTCCACAAAGGTGGCTTACAGCAACTCCCAGACATCCTTGAAATAATATAAACCTGCCCAACTTACTGTTGTTTTGGGACAGTGCTGATTAAACTTACACCAAACTATTAGTTACTTTATTAGTCAGCATCCTTGCTTACAGCCAGGAATGGGGAAGATGCTGCAGCCATTAAGTTTAAGTTTACTTTATTGTCATTGCACTTTGTAAATGAAATTAAATGCCATCTCCAGTGTACATTATAACTATAAAAATAAAACACAAACACACATTCTTCACATTCTATATAATTGAATTGACAACCCGATATTGCATTAGTATTGCACTATATAATAGAATTTAGTAAAGTTACTGCCCTGGGATAGAAGCTGTTTTTCAGCCTATTTGTCCTTGTTTTTATTATCCTGTACCATCTGCCAGATGGTAATAGTTCAAAAAAGGGTGCCCAGGATGAGATGGATATTTAACAATGTTTTGAACTTTCTTAAGGCGCGAAAGCTATAAAGCTCTTCCAAAGAGGGGAGAGGACAACCAATGATCCCCTGGGC